ATTTTCAATGCTAACCTGAAGTGTTTTAAATAAAGATTTATGATGAGCACTTAAAATTTGTCATAAAGATTATGATCCATGATGACATCTTTTTCATTGTAATGTTTTTAAAGAATTATCAAATGTAACAATTCAATCATTTTATGATATAATCTCATTATTATATTCTAAATCTTATTAATCATTGTATTGTTTCTTATTCTCTATATCAATCAACTTAGAATTCAAGATGATTTAAAATAAAATGTTAAATGAATAACAAAAATAATAATTCATTATAATTAAATTATCTTTTGACTTTTTTTTGGTTTAATTTCAATGTTCTTCTTTCTTTTGAATGATTTTAAAGAAGAATTTAGTCTCAAGTTAGTAACCCTTCCAATGTTTACAATGTTATTTTCTTTTATATTAGCTTTCAAGGCATCTTTTAATGTTCAAATTTAACTTTTATTATGATTGTTTGCTTAATTTCTTACTTGTAAACTTTATCATCAAGTTTAATTCTCTAGAATGATTGTAAATAAATTGGTTCATTATTTTGTTTTTATAGCACAACATATATATGTTGTGGTGTTCTAACTTCTCAAGCATCGAATGATGATATGGCCAACACTTGAAGTGCATTAAAGATGTCCCTCTTTTCCTCCATTAACATCCTGTCTATAGCCTTTTATTTGCTTGCATTATTCATGATCGCTTGAGCAACTATGCTCTCCTTTACCTCTTCAACAATTACTTCAAGCATTTTAAATACCAGAGATGCATTTTTAACAAATGTTGATGCATCAATAGATTTTTAAACCAAGTCACCTATGGATTGTTAACAAGAAAGTTGATAATGTTTTTTTTTCTCTGATGTCCAATTAACCATTTGATAATTTCATAACATTTACTCTAATTCTTATCTTCTGCACCTATGAATCAACTTTATTGTTCCTTCCACATTGTGTGGAATTTCAATTTCATGAAGATATCTTGTAACATCTAATCGTACTCTATTCTACTGCTCTTTTATCGATGTTCAAGGAGAAATTTTTGAGATTCATATTCATCTAAATTTGCTACAAATTTATTCATTGATTTCAGAGTTCTTCTATTAGGAGGAAATAAACTTTCATTGCTATTATTATTATGTTGAGAACCAAAGGAGCTATTTCGAATCTTTTCCTAGGTTATTCCTTCTGCTGTGTTTTTGAAGTGGCATAAATTTCTTGAAATGCACATTCTTTCTTAACATTCTTTGACTGTTTTTTATATTCTCTATCTTCAAGATATGTGCATGCTAGGTGATCTCTTAATCTTTTAGCACCGCTTGTAATTCTATTGCCACTAAATTGTTATGTCAAGTAAACATAGCCTTTGTTGCACCTTTTTGTATTTTGGTTTAAGTGTCATATTTCAAGTTGGATCTTTTTTTCTATTGTCCTCGATCATTATAGTAAACTAAAAAATAATATAAAAAATTAAAATAAAATATAAGCCCTAAAAGTATTTAAAATAAAAATCAGTAAAAAGATAAAAAATGGAAATGAAAATAAAACCAGTAAAAAAAACTAATTAGAGAGCTGAGAAAAATGAAAATTAAATCTTAACCCTGAAAAAATAATTAAAAGAAAGAAAATAAATACGAATATAAAATAAATTATAAATTAAATGAAAAGTAAAATATTTTTAAAAAATTAAGAGATAAAACTGAGAAATAAAAATAAAGTCTTAATCCTGAAAGTAAATATTTAAAAAAAAAGTAAAAATTAGTATAAATAGTAGTTGAAAAATGCATTTAATAAAATAATTTGATTTTCTCTAAAAGAAAAAGATTCTCTTATTTGTTTTGCTAAAGAAAGTGCATCGCCTTAGCCATCACTACAACTTTCCACTCTTCATTGGTTGTAGACCGCCCATTTTGCTGTGGTAGCTGCTCGCTCTCTCGCTTGACTCACAGACCTCTCTCCCCCTCTCTTTCTCTCTCCTTAAAAACTATGTCTCAAACTTGAATAATCTCTCTCTCTCTCTCTCTCTCTCTCTCTCTCTCTATATATATATAGATATATATATAACAACATTGTTTTCTTACGGAAGGCATCTACTTCAACCCATAAGTTATGAGCCTCATTCTTAACTAAGAAAAAAGCAATAGGCCTTGAGATGTTTTATATACACATCATGATGAGGCATGCCTCTGGACATGCACCTTGAACACCTTTTAATCCATGTATTGGATATGTTATATAGAAAAGTGGGGATATGAAGTAGGCTACAACTTTTATATTTATGATTAGTGGATAAAATGTGGAAATGCGTCGAGATATTTTATATTATGTGATGAAGATAAATTTAATAAATCATAATCAAGCTGATGATATTATTTTCATGTGTGTTTAGTAGTAATAAAATTATTGGAGTTTCAAAAATGAGAATTTAAGGTAGGATGCTTAACAAACTTAGGAAGGATAAAATGAAAAGTTATTATATTAGATGAACGTTTTGAGTGAATAAATTGAAGACAAAACACTTGAAAATAGACTTTGGGTTTGGACATGTACAATGAAGGATATAACATGCATCTCACTGGAAGATCATATAAAATGAATATCAGAAGGTTAGAAAGCAGAAATGGTAACACCTTAGGCAACTGTTGGCTAAAAAGAATGAAAAATGAATATTCATAATGCTGACTCCAAAATTTTAGGATAAGGCTTATGATGTTGTGATTCCATTTAAAATCCTTAAGGTAGATTGCACTGTTGGTTATCAACGGACACTAATTGCTGAATATACCAGCACTATTTCATTCAATCTCTCGTTTGATTACAAGGCATTAGATACATAGAGAGAATAGGAGTTTGCAACATCTCTGATGCAGAATGCATGAGATATCTACTTTAAATTCTCATAAGTGATTTTGATCTTATTTTATATGGTTTCACATGTAAGTAATGTTTGTTATTATGAACGATTTATGATTGTAGTTTGTATATATTCTTTTCTTCCATTATGCAATTATAGATCCCCTCATTTCGTTCATTATCCCCATCTGTTGTTGCTAGTTAACTTGTTCTTTTGTAACAATTAGAACTTTAAAATGAATAGTTACAATTGCCAAATTCTTTGCAAGCTATATTGGAAAAAATTCTTCAAAACACTCTGATCATATGCAAAACTGTAATGGACACTGAAAAAATGTTGTGCGTTGTTTTATTTGATTTTTTCAAAAAACATGGATTTGTATTTATGTATCTATGTGCAAAGCATGCAGCATACTTCTTTCAATAAAAATAGGGATATACTTTCACTTGATATTTTGCGTTGCCTATTCTATATATAATTTTAATGCTTTTTGAACTTTAAATATGTAGGTATCTGTAGTGCGTGACTTTGTTCTATGGTATTTTTTTTTGAATGTGCATGCATCAACATGTGTGCAAGCCATAATTATGTACCGCACCATCCATTTATACATATGAAATGCGGATGCATGTTCCTCTACTGAGTAATTGTTGTTATTTTGTTTATGTATCGGTTGAGTTGTCGCATGCATCTTTATGTTTGATCCCTCCATTTATACATTTGTACGTGTGACCTCAATGAATTTATGTTTACTATTCTGTATGTAATATGTACATATCCCTGTAATTCTAGAAATGCTGTATTTAAAACTTCTATATGTCTGCATGAATTTTGTGTATTTGTATCTGTACTGTATGCTTGTCTTTGCTTCACGTATGTGTGCTATTTTTGAGTTTAGGTGATGTCAATGTGGCTTCGATGCATTTGTTCACTAACTGTTTATTCTTCGCTCACTCCTGTCTGTCTGGTTTTGCATGTACATGCACGTGTGTCTATGCAAGCATCTTACATAGCTGTGTAATGTAGCGTCCTCACCTTATTTTTCTTGTCTACAGAGTAATTGTTGTTATTTTTTTTATGTATCGGTTGAGTTGTCGTATGCATCTTTATGTTTGATCCCTCCATTTATACATTTGTACGTGTGGCCTCAATGAATTTATGTTTACTATTCTGTATGTAATATGTACATATCCCTGTAATTCTAGAAATGCTGTATTTACAACCTCTACATGTCTGCATGAATTTTTTGTATTTGTATCTGTACTGTATGCTTGTCTTTGCTTCCCGTATGTGTGCTATTTCACGAACTGTTTATTCTTCTGCTCACTCCTGTCTGTCTGGTTTTGCATGTACATGCACGTGTGTCTATGCAAGCATCTTACATAGCTGTGTAATGTAGCTTCTCACCTTATTTTTCTTGTTGCTTCAGTATGAGACCGCTGCTTCTTATTTGGGGAATGGTGTGAAAATTGGGTCACTTTTTTATATTATTTGCTTGTGGATTTAACATTAGATTTGATTAAATGGGACGGACACCTGCGTTTTCACTGATTTATGCCTACATGCATGGGGGCTTATGCATTGTAATGTGTGAGAGCAGATGAATGTTTGCTGATATATCTATCTAAACTTATGCATGTTATTATGTAAACATTTTACATACATAGCACCTGCAACATTGCTATTTACAAATCTAGCACCCCTTTCCCTTTCATTCATTTTTGCCCTTTCATTCATTTTTGAAATTCTCACTCAAATGTCAAAATTCATGATAAAACTGAAATCCATATTTTTCATTTTTATCAAATTCTCAATGGTTTGATTGTGGCACGTGTAAATGCATTGGCTCGGTAGTTCAAGAATATCACATGGCGCTAGATTTGTTGATAGCAATATTTCGGGATATATGTAATTATCCCAGCTTTTATTAAGGAATGCATGTATAAATCCATGTTTTGTGCTCTATGCGCTGCATAATTTTTTTTTTCAATTTTGCCATCTTTTTTTCTGGTTAGTTTTGATGGATGCAGCTAGTTTTTATTGCTTGTTGTTGTTGTTCCTTTCTATTTTTTTTAAATTTACATAGCTAATGTTAAATTATTCACCCATATATCAGTATAATATTGCTCGCTTGTGCTCCTGATTATTTGTAGATTGAACTTCCTCACTGGACTGATATTGTTAAGACTGGAAGATTCAAAGAGCTCGCTCCATATGACCCAGATTGGTACTACATTAGAGCTGGTAATCGATTTCATCCATTGTTTTTTTTTTTTTGGAAGATTGACTCGTTACTACTTCCTCCAATTAAGCATCTTTAAGTTGTTTATTTCATTTGCAGCTTCCATGGCAAGGAAGATCTATTTGAGACAGGGCATTGGAGTAGGTGGCTTTCAGAAGATCTATGGAGGTCGCAAGAGGAACGGTAGCAGGCCTCCTCATTTCTGCAAAAGTAGTGGTGCGATTGCTCGCCATATTCTGCAGCAACTAGAGAAGATGAATATCATTGAAGCCCATGAGAAGGGGTCAGTGCTTCATTTAATGCTAATAAATATTTTTTTTTCATAAAGGGTTGCTGATTCTTATGCTGCTCTAAACTTTCGCATAATCTTTCATCTTATCAGTAATTACATAGAACTTTAATATATATATTTTTTAACTTTGCTAATCAGCTTAGACTGAAAGGAAAATTTATAAGAGGGTGGGGAGACCGCAATACTCTATGGCGTTGAATGTTGGCCTTTAAAAGAGAAGCATAATATTAAGTTAAGTGTTACCGAGATGAGAATGATTAGGCAGATAAGTGGCTTTATGCTTAGAGACAAAATGTGAAATGATTATATGCGTGATAGGGTTAGTGTAGCCCCAGCGACGGACAAAATTAGAGAAAGTCGTCTTAGATGGTTTGGTCACATTAAACGTCGACCATCTGATGATCTAGATGTTTTAGATTCGACGTATGTTAAGATAGGTAGGCTAGACCTAGAAGACTTGGGCTTATTGTATAAAAAATGACCTTAATTTATTAGAATTAAATGAAAATATGACACTAAATAGGACGCAATGGAGAAAAATGATTCATGTAGCCGACCCCACTTAGTGGGATTAAGGCTTTATTGTTTTTGTTGTTGCTGCTAATCAGCTTGCACACCTGACCTAGTCATCATAGGAAGATAGTAAACCGAATCGCCTGCTTTCTCTGTTTCTTACATACTATTTTGGATGGACAAGAAGGTTGCTACAGTTGAATTTTGCTGTATTTATTTTTTAGTGCAAGATAAGTCGCATAATTGAATTGGTATATGCTGTTTTATCAAATATTTTCGTCTGCTAGGGGAAGAAGAATTACATCGCAGGGCCGCCGCGACCTCGATCAAGTTGCTGGGCGTGTGGTGGTTGTGGCATGAATCCTTAGCGGGTATCTGTCCTTTACATGTTCTTAGGATTTAATATTCCATCTTCTGCAAATTTTGATGTATGCTGCTTCGTGTGAATCTGATTTTAAGATGTATTTATTACAATTACCATTTCCAATTTCTTTAATTGTAATTCTGGACTTTTGCGTGGACCTTTGAAACTAGATGTGCCACTCAGTTCTTTTGGATTTAGTGACTGTTATAATTAGGAATGAGTAGTATAAGCATCACTATGAAATCCTTTTTTTTATAATTTTATTGATGAAGTTTAGGCGTCTGGGTACCAAATTAATGGCTAGAATTTTAATTAGAATCCATTGTTTTAGTGGTGCTATGGCTGTTAATGATCCGATTTTGAGCCGAGCTAGGATCGGCTCAAAATTAGCTTGAAAAAAGTTCGATATAAAATTTTGGCTTGTAGCCCGGCTCGTTTATTTCGATCCAATCTTGATCCAAGCCAAAATTCGAATCAATTTCTGAGCGATTAACAAACTTCGAACAAAATTCACTGAATTAGAAGTCATATATTGTCAACGATCTGATTTCGAGTTGAGTTGGGGTTGGCTCAAAAAATTGTCGAACCAAAATTTTATCTCGTAGATTGGCTCATTTATTTCGATCCGAGCTAAAATTCGAATCAATTTTTAAGCGATTCACGAGCTTCAAGCCAAACAGCCCTAAGTGATGCGTTCATGTATTTCTTAATTTTGCTTTTCCTTTGTGCATAAGCAATGGGAGCATTCTTATTGGATGGCCTGCCAACATGATGGCATGTGTCATAGAAGGCACCGAAGGGGCACCGAAGGTGGATGATAGAAATTCACTCAACCGAGAGGAATTTAGGCATTGTGTTAAAAAGAAGATTCAAATTAAGAAATAATTGATTTATAATGCTCATTAGATTTATTTTCTAACTGTAAAATCTTCTTTTAATGAATATACACATCTTTATGGCTGCAATGCCATTTAAGTTAAAAAATAATGTCTCAAGGATAAAACCCACTTGACATTTTTTAACTATAATTGCTATAGAGGTTGAGATATGTTAATGATTAATGCTTGATGCCATCTGTATAGCTACAATATTTTCTAATATTTAAGAGAATTTCCACTAAAAAAACCTCTTCATGTCTCATCTCAATCCATATGTAAACATCCTGAAGTATTAGTAATATTTTCCAATGAATTATAAAAATAAATAGTCAAATTTACATACCTAGCACAAATTCTTATGTTCCAATCTTGATCCAAGCCAAAATTCGAATCAATTTCCGAGCAATTAACAAACTTCGAGCAAAATTCACTAAATTAGTAGTCATATATTGTCAACGATTTGATTTCGAGCCGAGCTGGGGTTGGCTAAAAAAAAATTCGATCGAAAATTTTGTCTCGTGGATTGGCTCATTCATTTCGATCCGAGCTAAAATTCGAATCAATTTTTGAGCGATTCACGAGCTTCAAGCCAAACAGCCCCAAGTGATGCGTTCATGTTATCTCTTAATTTTGCTTTTCCTTTGTGCACAAGTAATGGGAGTATTCTTATCGGATGGCCTGCCAACATGATGGCATGTGTCATGGAAGGCACCGAAGGTGGATGATAGAAATTCACTCAACCGAGAGGAATTTAGGCATTGTGTTAAAAAGAAGATTCAAATTAAGAAATAATTGATTTATAATGCTCATTAGATTTATTTTCTAACTGTAAAATCTTCTTTTAATGAATATACACATCTTTATGGCTGCAATGCCATTTAAGTTAAAAAATAATGTCTCAAGGATAAAACCCACTTGACATTTTTTAACTATAATTGCTATAGAGGTTGAGATATGTTAATGATTAATGCTTGATGCCATCTGTATAGCTACAATATTTTCTAATATTTAAGAGAATTTCCACTAAAAAAACCTCTTCATGTCTCATCTCAATCCATATGTAAACATCCTGAAGTATTAGTAATATTTTCCAAGGAATTATAAAAATAAATAGTGAAATTTAGCACAAATTCTTATGTATTTACATATCTCGTATCTAAACATTCATATTTACATAGCATTATGGAGTTTTAAACCTATGCATAACAATGTTTATTTCACTTTCAAAAATGATAACATTGCTAATTTTTATATATGATGTTAAAGATTTGAGTATTGCGGGTAAATATGGAAGTTAGTGTGTGTGTGTGTACGTGCGAACATAAATAACAATTCAAAGATGAAGTGTAATTCTACAGAGATATTCAGAATGATAGTATCAAGTGAGGTTTAGAAAGGGAGGGTTCGTTTGAGGAGAGGGGGCGGGGGGCGGGCCACAGGGGTCGACCCGTGGCCCGTGTTTAGTGTAAAAATCCAAACACAGTTTCAGATAAGCTGATGAAACGCGCGAACCAAACAGTTCGACGGCATTTTGAAAGCGCCGTCCGCACTTATAAGCTGCCCCAAACAGACCCTTAGTCATAGCGCTTAGACACATTCGTTTTTTAATGGAGGCAAGTTGGATATATTTATAAATATTAAAGTTAACTTCTATTTTTTTGTTTATTTTAAAATTAATGAAATATATTTATAAATAACAAAGTGTTATTTATATTTATTTAAAATGAATTGTTTTGAAGTTTATCTAATTGAATTTTATGAGGATGGAATAATTTTTTTTTTTCATTTTTTTATAGATATAGCAAGAAAAATAATTTGGAATGACTTAAAAAATTAACAAAGTTCTCCAGATAAATAAGTGGGGCATGAAATTGTCACTCACTTTTAATTTGAATATTCATTTATGATATTTATATTGCACATTATGTGCAAATAGTTTAATATATTTGAAAGCAATTAGTTTATTATTTTTCAATTCATCAACAAATTAAGTTCTTTTAATTTATGTCATTTAATTTTAATAAAATACTTGATGTTAATTCTTAAGTATATTTTTTTAGGAATTGGTAGCTGAGCTTCTATATAACTAAACCCTTTAATCATGTGAGAAGCCATGAAAAAGGATTAGCAAAATATAGTTACATTTATGCCTAAATTGGAGACAAGGACCCATCAACAACTAATTTATCATTCATAGAAAGAACAATTATTTTTAGTTCCTCATAAAGTAAAGATGTTCAATTAATTGAATCTTCGCGCATATAAAATTAGAGTTTAGGTCTTAGATATGTAAAAACGTAGAAATTAATTGACATGTATGTAAATCTGCCTACTTTGACTTGGGAAGGATACTATTCAAGATGAGAGTACCAAAAAATAAATTGTTTAAAATGGATTATGATGGTTAAACAATGAGCAGGGTTTAAAACTAACCATATCAAATTCTTTTAGGTCGTAAGGTCCCATATTATTTATGAGAACATACAACTCAATAACACATTTAGATAAAAGATGAGCAAAAAAAAGATGAATACGAAGCTTAGGAGAATATTTTTCAATATAACTAGTGAGTTAGAGCACTAGCAAGAGGGAAAAATGGCTCTAGGAAGGTTTATCGAATTATATTGTTTTCTCCTAGATCCAGAGAGAGAGAGAGAGAGAGAGAGAGAGAGAGAGAGAGAGAGAGAGAGAGAGAGAGAGAGAGAGAGAGAGAGAGAGAGAGAGAGAGAGAGAGAGAGAGAGAGAGAGAGAGAGAGAGAGAGAGAGAGAGAGAGAGAGAGAGAGAGAGAGTCCGTAAAGAAGAAAATAAAAATATGTTTCGTACGGTATGATGCTCATCCATAAAGTCTTGATAAAAGACTAAGAAGTTGATGTCAGACAATACTTTTAAAAAAGGATGAACTTGTGTCTTTGTGTATAATGATGATGATATCTGGTAATTGTCCTTCCCTAAAAGGGCTAGGACTCCCATGGAGAAGAGGTAAATCTAGGGGCTTTGGTAAGTGGATTCGATTCAGCCACTTAGACATGTGGTCTTCATTCAACTACTTCAACAGGTGATCCTAGTTCAACCACTTCGGTAGGTGGGCTTAGTTCAACCACTTCGAAAGATGGGCTTGGTTCAACGAAAGCGATCTGATTCCATGATAAGGGTTCATGCAACTTGTATGACTTATTCTCTTCCATATTAGACTCCATATAAAAATTTGTGTTAGGTATTTTAATCATATTTGTGTATACATTTAGTTCCACAATACTTTTGGCTCTACGATCAGGTTATGCGAGAACAACAAGAGAATAAGAATACTTTGATTTTTTTGCAGTTACAAGAAATTCTTATTTTCTTTGGGCTTTGTGACTTAGATCAGGGATCATCTTAGTGAGAACTCTGCATGATTAAATAATGTAACATTTTTAACCTAGGGGTACACCATTTTTTCCTTGAAGGAGTCATATAATTCATATTCACCGATGATTCATGACTGACCTTCTCCTGGGGGCAGTTTGTGCTGAACATATAGGGAGTGGTCTCTTGAATTATTATGTTGAATGACACGTGTTACATTCTCGAGGGCCTTGACTCTGTTAAGAGAGGTGGTCATTTCACATTCTCGATTTAGTCTGTTGAGATCAACTAACTTTTTATTTGTGATAGAAGAGGAACCATCTAGTTGATTCGATGGAAAAAGGCTAGTTGGTCGTGGCTTGCGCTGGTGCGTTTATTATTGCATCGTTTGAGCTGCCTGTAAAGAAAGTATAAGGAAAAGTTGGGAACTATAAGTAACATTGATTGTAATAGTTATTTCTTTCGGGTTTTCAAGAACATTGTGGGAGAACCATAAGTCCTTTGTTTTTATAGAAAGACACACTCTCAGTTAGCAAGTTTGAGGCATTCCTTTGACATTTCGTCTTTTTCTATGAGAAAGATTTCTACCATTGAGATGAAAATTTCAAGTTCTCCTATGGAAGGCAATATTTGCCCTAGAAAATAGTCGGTTGTTTAGATATTGGAAGATGAGTCTCAATAAAGAACTAAGTTTTTTATGGATTGGAGTGTTGTGATAAAATGTTCTTATTTTGAGCTTCCTATGAAACATCAGAATCTCCAGACCTGGCCTTAGAGGAAGCATAGGGAACTTATTTGGTCGATAATGTAATACCACCTTCTCTTAAATCTTGTTCTTCTAGGAACATTTCCTCTGACTTGAATAATCCAATGGAGAGTCAGCTTCTCGACATGTCCTATGAACTAAGAGCATCTAGTTTGATGGCTTTGGTTGAGCCCCACCCTCTGAGTGCGTTAGTTTCATTTTACTCTTGCAAGTTCTGGAATTATTATCTTTAATTGTGATAAGATCTCAATGTTCAATGGATTTCAGGTCATATTGCCAAGCAATTAGCAATCTTGTAGATCATGTTTAGGGACTTTCCCTTAGTGAGAAGATATTCCCTTAAGCCTTGTGTTATTGAGGGAAAAGTCTTGAAATAGGGTGATATTGGCTCATCTCCTAAAGGTAACTTAACTTAACTCATCTATTTGGGGCTTGTTTTTTTGTCAAATATGTTCTCTTGCTACATTTAGAGATATCAATCGACAAATATATTGAAGACCTTGGAATGGGTGAAACCGATGTTGGGACCCCCTTTAGAACTGCCACGCCAATATAAATATGGATTCCCAAAATGGATATCAGTCCAACTATTGGAGAGGCTCCTGCTATGATTGAAAGGACTTTGTTGAGCTTTAAAACATCATCCAATATTTGTTTTTGCCAGGAAGACAATAATAATTTAAGAGAACGACTAGTCACACTGGAAGATGAATTTGTTGAGGCACAAGGGAACCTTGCCAATATGAAACCAAGGGAATTTTTTATCAATCTGAATTCATAGGAATCAATTGCTAAATTGGTGGAGGAATTAACTAATATTGGCCAGGTACTGAATATTGTGGAGGTTGAATTAGCATTTTCCAACGACATTTTGGATTAGGCAATTCCGACATCCTTATTTTCGATGGTTGATAATGTTTTAACGCTTTCTTTGATATGGGACTATTAATATGGAGAATATCAAAAATTAATATTTGCTCATTTTTTATGCATAGGATTGTCCATGTTTGTACCCGTTTTTTAATTATAAAGTTTGAATTCTTGGAATGAATGTTATGCTTGAGAGTTAATTGGGATTGCTTTTGATTCTTTATAAATCAGTCTTTAGCATTTATTATATACGATAATTTATAATCTTGTGTGAAATTCGTACCCCTTGAGCTTTTAGTTGTATGCTTTAACGTCGATCGATCACATAATTTTTTTGAAGGAGTTGAAGATAGAAAAATTTCATCATTGATTCCTCTTGAAAATTCTCTTACTATTGTTTTTTCTTATTAGTGATTTGCTCATATTGATGGCAACTGGCTTGGAAAAGTGGGGTTCGACTCCCTCGATGACAAGATCTCATAATGTTTCACAAATGGATTGTGATTTACTGGAAAAAGCACAATCAAAATGTGTATTTGAAAATATCATGGCTTTGAGGTTGCCGAGAAAAGAGAAAAACCCAAGCACCATTAATGAGCGTGAAATATGTGTGTATTTCAAACAATTTCAAACAAGTTTCATATCCCTCTATGTGCAGAGTTGATAGATATTTTAAACTTCTTTGTGCTTGTTCTTGCTCAAATTGGTGTCAACTCAATTGTGAGCGTATTACAGGTCACAATGTACGCTTGTGTTCAATCATTATTTTGGCCTATTCTAGCACACCTTTCTTCTTAAGGTTCAAAATGATAGAATGGTTATTTTTCTTTACAGTTGAAAATGCTAGGTCTTATAAGCAAGATGCCTACTTACTGGAAGAAATAATTTTATTTTACTCATAGAAAAATTGATTGGAATTGTTCAAATTCGAACCGAGCCTCAGTGATTAGGAAAGGTGATGCTTGACGTCCATCCGTTGACTTTTGAAGAGGATAAAATTTTTTCGGTTTTGAATAAAGTGTAGAGACATTACTCGGTACATTTCACCTTATTTATTCAAGGAAATGTTGAAAGGTAAAACCTTTAGCTTCCAATTATGGAGCCATTATTCTTCTTAGACATATCACTCGTTGGTTCGTTGCCTACCAATGTGATTCCTTTGAATTTAGATGAGAAACACTTGCCAACTAGCGTCCTGGACATTAGGATTACATCTATTCAATCTCTTCCCATGTCTCTTGGCTTTGCCAGGTCTTCGAGAGCTAGCCTGAGAGGAAATATTCTATAAGGAGGTTGTCTACCGCTTCAAACATGACATACCAAATTGAAGTAGTCTCTTATAATAAAATTCTCATCCAAACTTAAACTAGTTCACTCGATTCTTCTCGGCTTGAGCTTGGAGCATGAATGATCTCTCCCAGACATCCAAAAATTCGTGACAAAGATTGGTATTCTCCTATTCCATCCTCCCACTTTCTCCACCAGTGCAAGCAACTTGTGTATCGCCTCGCCTTGATAAATCCCAAGCAATCAAAATAAGTTGTTCTGAATCTTGTCCAGGTAGCGAGCCAATGATCCAAGGATATACGACATCCTTCAGTTGCTTCCCCATGGGTCTCCAAAGGACTGCATGGACAATTAATCACACCATCCTCTCTCAGGAGTTGGTCGCCTTCGGCTGTTAACCAACCAGCCACCGCTAACACCATGGCGGGTTTTCACCAACTTTTGTTAGAGGCGAGTCATCATCTAGGGCTATCAGGCAGCCACACCAAGAGACTACGTAAAGATGAGGGAATCTAGAAAAATATAACAAGCAAGATTGATGCTCCTTATACCAAGGCATCAGTCCCACTTAGTTGTTGTAAGTGACACCACACTCTCACAGGGTGGCCACAAAGCATGAGTAGCTTTCGGTGCCCCAGGTAGCGATAGAGCACCTCTTGCACCCCGAGCAGTGGCATAAGCACTAACAATTTCTTGCACGATATATTTGGCCAGCAGGTCCTGTGCATCAATAGAAGCTTAGCTAGAGATAATAGATGGATGATTGAGCTGGCCGCCTTAATGCTCCTTTGCCTCGTACCGAAGAATGAATCCGATAACCCAACCTAATCCACCAATGCACTCATTTTTTTTCTTAAGAATGGGGTTTTTCTTCTTCTCACATGCCAGGTGGTACCTCTCATTCAGTCTCTCAAAGACAAAATGAAGCAGATCTTTGATGGAGATATCGATTGGCGGATTTGAAACGTTCTCCATTGCATCTCTTGGAAGCCGACTGATTTAAACGAGAAGGGAAGCAAAACAAATATGAAATAAGAGAATCGTCATCAAAAGCAACATGCAAAACATTGGGATTAAAAGAAACTTAGCACAAACAACCAAATAGTAATCAGAAAAGGACAACGTCACACCAATATTATGATTAATCATATGTTAATTCAAATTTTAGCTCTGATCGACATCAGATTAAAATAAATAGGTCGAGTTATGAGCTGAAATTTTGGATCTACTCGAGCCGGGAGCCAATTGCGAGCCATACATAGATAGGCTCGAACTGACTTGAGAGCGGCTTGTAATATTTTTTTATTTCTAAAAATTATATCTAAAATGCTAAGTAAATTTGAATATGTGACTGGCCAATTTTAAGCCTATTTCAAGTTAGAACATATCCAAATAACTCAAATTGGGCTGGTTAGTTTCAATTTCGAGCCATATTAAGCTAATTTTGAACTAAAATAAATCGAAATAACTCAAGTTGAGCCTGCTCGTTTTGATTCTGAGCTGTGTCGAGCTCGATGCAATTCTGAACCACGAGCTGATTTCAAGCTTCAAATAAAAAATGACGAGCCACGAGCCAATTTCAAACTGCACTAAATCTATTCGAGCCGACTCCAACTTAACTCTAAATCGCCAGATGAGTAATAATATTGGACAAAAACACCAATCTACCTTCAAAGCCTACTTTCAAAATTTGAATTGAAAAAAAATTTGTTAAATATTTGAGAAATACTAAGCTTAGATTGTTGTCAAATCATACTCTCAAAATACAGGAGCAGACGACTGTCGATGATCGTTCGCGATCGCCTACCAGCAGTGGTTTGCGGTGGTTGTTCATTGGTGGTTGCTGGGGCTGGAAATGCTCGTTGTATCAACACTGCAAAATATTAGACTTCAACTTTTTCATCTCTAGGCTTTGGTCTTCTATTGACTCTATTTATAGAGTCCAAATTTCAAAAAAGCAAAGAATCCAAACCACTTTGATCATATGGCTTGGGGAGATTCTCTCGATGTTCTTTGGGCATTTAACATCTTTAATGATGTCGAAATTGAGAGATCTTGGGCTCAACTTTTTCATCTCTAGGCTTTGGTCTTCTATTGGCTCTATTTATAGAGTCCAAATTGCAAAGAATGAAAGAATCCAAACCACTCTTATCATATGATTTGGGGAGATTCTCTCGATCGGACAATGTTCTTTGGGCATTTAACATCTTTAATGATATCAAAATTGAGAGATCTTGGGCTATTTTGATACGTCTTGTCGAGACAATCGATTCATCTATAAGCACAACAAATTTGAGATTCATTTGACCTTCCAATTATATACTGAAAGCTCCCAAAAATGATTTAACAACTGGATCCAGGCTTGATCTGACACAGATTGGACCAAATTTGGTATTTGTGTCCTTTTCATCAAACCGGTCAGTTTCTTTCTAAGTTTGCCCAAATAAAAATTTTGGATTACTTCTAATCAAAATCTAAATATTTCCAACCTAAAAATTAGCCTAATGATGAAAATTCATGGGGTTGTGTATCAAATCAAAATCGCACATTTTAGACGAATTTCATCATAATTTGATAGCGAGCTGCATACAAATAATGAAATACCAATTTAATTCCAAAAATAAATTCAAAATTTAAACAAAATATTTTGTTCCCATGCTCAAGTTCTATTTTTTAATCTGTTGCTGAATTATATCATTACTTTCCTGTAAGCAAACAACTTATCTACAACGCTGTTCCTGCAGCAACAAATCTCAATTTCAATTTCTAAGCACGGAGAGACAGAGAGATCATCTCACTGCAACCTCCAACTCACAACTAACTCCTACTTTATCCTCCAAAGAACCTCTTTTGATGGCGTCCTCCACCGCCGGCTGCTCCCTGAACCTCGCATATATGTCCCCCTTATAAAACTTTCTCGTCCTAACCGCCAACACCAGCGACACAACCGCCCCAACCACGGCCCTGAAAACACTTCACCCCAATGCAAGTCCCCTCCTTTCCCCCTCCGTTCTGCCTCTCCGTCTCCCTATCGTACAAATGCCCCGCCACCCTCACATTCAGTATATAAGATCCTATCGGACTCGCCACGCTTCCAAAATTGTAAAGCGTGGAGTAATACTTCAGCCCAAACAACTCCGAAATAATGGAAAACAGCAACGGCCACTGCGCTCCGAAACAGAACCCGACGATCACCGACGCGAGGTAGAGCGAGTTGGGCACGCCGAAGGCGATCAGGAGGTGGCCGGCGCAGGCTAGAAGAAGAACGAAGGTCAGCACGAGCGGCCGCGGGACTCTGTATTTTGTCAATAGGATTTCTGATATGAAACCAGCGGCTACTCTGCCCATGGCGTTCCAGATACTGATCAGGGAGACGAAGGTGTTGATGCTGCGAGATGGGTAGCCTAACGATTCACCGATTTGCCCCATGTTGTCGATAGCCGTTAAGGTTCCTCCGACGCCGCAGATTGTGGAGAAGAAGAGGACTAGCATGTCGATGCTGAACAGGGCTTGGAGGATGGAGAAGTCCTCGCCCCTCGCAGGAGGATGGAGGATTTTTGATATGAAGGAGTTGGGTTTTTGGACTTTTATGGGTTTGGTTTCTTCGGAGGTCTTCAGTTCTTGTTCGCCGGAGGAGGAGGTGCCATTGATGATGTTCAGCTGCTCTGTTTTCGTCCTGTTCGGATTGGCTTCTTCTTCTCCTCCCGGCGCTATTGGGATGATTTGAGATGTATAAAAAAGCAAAAAATGTGTTATTTTATTTGGTGGCCCGTTTTGAGGAGATATTACGTAATTCTTATTAATCTAAATTCTAATTTTTACATGTATAAGAATAAAGTTTTTATTATTACATTATGAATATCATTATTTTTATTTTTGTAAGAAGAAAAATATGGAGAAGTCCTCGCCCCTCGCAGGAGGATGGAGGATTTTTGATATGAAGGCGTTGGGTTTTTGGACTGTTATGGGTTTGGTTTCTTCGGAGGTCTTCAGTTCTTGTTCGCCGGAGGAGGAGGTGCCATTGATGATGTTCAGCTGCTCTGTTTTCGTCCTGTTCGAATTGGCTTCTTCTTCTCCCGGCGCTAATGAGATGATTTGAGATGTATGAAAAAGAAAAATGTGTTATTTTATTTGGTGGCCCGTTTTGAGGGAGAAATATTTGCATAAGCATGCTCGACGTATAGGTTACAGAGAGGGTATTGAAGATTTTATCAGCGTTATACCTCTTGTAACCTCCCTGTAATCTACGTGTAATTAGTAAGTTTCGCGTTTCTGATTTCATATATTTCTAAGTTACATGTAGGTTTCAAGAAAGTTATAAGGATGTTACAGAGGGTATAATGAGGATATAACCATCAATACCTCTCGTTGTAACCTACCTGACGTACGCAGCGCTGCGTACGTAAGACGTATGCAAATATTTCTCGCTTTGAGAAGATATTACATAATTCTTATACATCTAAAATCTAATTTTTACATGTATAAGAATAAAGTTTTTAATATTACATAATGAATATAATAATTTTTGTTTTTTTAAGAAGAAAAACACTCTTTTCATAAATAGGGTTATGAAATCAAAATATTATAAATATGAATATCATATTTTGAATGTTTGGATATATGAATATTTAAGAATTGTAGGTATATATGTAAATTTGAATTTAATTTAATAATGCAACAAAATAGTTAATTTTAATAATATCGTCGAAAGTTATAATTTAAAAATAAAAATGCAATTTTGATTGTATAACCGACTCTTCATTAATTTGGAAAAATTATAAACCAGGTGCTTTTTAAAAAAAAAAAAAAAAAAAAAAAAAAAAACCAGGATGCAAAATAATCATAAATAGTAAAAATAATATTTTATATTAAATAAAAAATTTGTTTAAGGTATTCTAATCAAAATTTCGATTAAATGAATCTCCAAATAATTAAAAATTTTATGCAATAAATGTAATGTAAAATTTAATTAATTAATTACCTAAAAAACCATTTCAAAATAAAATTAAAAACTCTTAGATTTTTCCTTAATATTCATCTTAAATAACCTACAAAATTTGCATGCTTCCACCCACTAAATCTATATTTGCATTTCTGTAGTTTCTGTAATTAAAAATATATATAGAATTAAAAGTATAAACATATACATATATATAT